TAGGACATCTCACCATTCATGCTTGGGCAGACAAGAGAGGGAGATAGGTGGGCTTGGGAGGAAGTGAGCAAATCTGAGCAGGGGTTGGCAACCATTTCACAGCAGCAGGCCAAAATAATGCAGCTTAGTCCAAGGTGGGTTGCTGCTTTTGACCCAGCTGCCACCTCTTCCCGCCATGTATACAACCTGCCACAGAAGCACCCTGCTGCTGAAATGCCACAAAATTGCCCCATTGCCAAAATATTACCAATATTCAGACTTTGCAGGCTGCATGAAATCACTTGGCAGGCTGGATCTGGCCTGTGGCTGTAGGTTGCTGACCACTGAACTAGAGGATGCATTGCTTAGTGACAGGCCTGATTACCCTGGAAGGCAGCGGTGCTGGCGTTGTGTCCTGAAACCTTGCTCTCAATGGGGCAGAAACTCTCCTCTTCCACTTGCCCTCCATCCATTTTAGCCAATGAATGGTAAATACATGGGGCAGTGGCTCAGCTTCAAAAGCAGTGCTCCAGGAGCTGGCTAGGGGCTGATGTGCAGCCTGGTGATGAAGGCACTGGGTTTCAAAACCAGAGGGGCGCAGAGTCACCCCTCTGGGCGAATAGGGCCTAAGAACTCAGAGCCTCTGATTTCTTGGGTGACAGCCACTCAGTTATTAGTAGGGACCTACTCAAATTGTGGTTTCATGGATTTCGTGGAAATGTCGACATTGGGCAATCTCCGCGAAATCTGCAGGGGGAAAAAAACTTACTAAAAATAAAATGGGAGCCAGCAGTTCTCCTGGCCACTCAGCCTAGTATGAAGGCAAGCTGGCTGGCACCCTTACCCCTCACCGCTGATTGGCTGAGAGGGCTGTCTGTCATAAGCCCCCCCCCACCCCTGGCCACCAATCAGCAACAAGGGGGGGGGGGCGGTATGATAGACAGCCCTATCCACTAATCAATGGTGGGGGTGGGGCCAATCAGAGGTGCAGGGGGTGGGACCCCAGCCGTGATAAACCCATAAAAACGGCACCCCAGCCTTGCAATCTGAGCATGCACGCAGAGCCAGCCTTTAGGGGTGGGTGACGTGGGCAACCAGCCAGGGCACCGTGGTCTGGGGGGCACCACACACACACACACACACACACACACACACACACACGTGTGAACAGCCTGCCATGCTCACAGCAGTGCCCCAGCCCACCTGATTCCAGCCCCAGGGAGGAGGAGCAATGCCCAGCAATGAGGGAGGAAAGGGGGGCACCAAACTACAAGTACACCCCTGAATGCCATTTTCCAAAAGGACAGCTCTGCATATAAAGCATATGAGCATACATAGCTCTGTGCCTGCTCAGACAGCTCATATCCTCCTGCACTTGAGCGTGCATGCTACATGGGGACTGCAGTTGCAAACTGTGCATAAGTGCAAGTAGCGCCACTTCACAGCTAAAAAAGGGTCATGTGGGTGTTTATGGTGAAGTAAAATTGCGTCCTTTCTCCTCAGCGACCAGAATTTCTTGTTCATGGAAAATATAGGCCCTTTTGAAACTCATTTTGTCCTAAAATAGATCAAAATATTTTCTAAATCCCCCATGAAACAGACTTCAAAATAATTCATTTCAGAATGTGTTTTTTGAAAGCTGAAATTGTAATGAGAATTTGATTTTGTGCCACGGGTGCTTGCTTTGTATTATTTTAATGAGTTTTACATTGTTTCACAAGGATAATAGGCACTTGCCACATGCACACAAATATGGTTAGTCAAAAAAAAAATTAAATTTTCCATTGACAATGCCAAGAGCACAAATTTCAGACCAGCTTTGATATGGTGGATGCCTTCTATATATTTATGGCCCACTGCTGCAGGTGTTTTACCTACTCCTCCCCGCAGTGCCTGACTTATGAGGCAGCAGCATAACAAGCAGAAGGCAACAGGCACGGACTTCAGGTGAAGTTGCATGTTATATTTATTAGGGCTGTGCTAAGCTTCGGTCCCTGATTCGATTTGGCAAAGATCTGGCCCAATTCGGTGGCCAAATCTCCGAATCCATATCAAATCAGAGGACCCTTTAATCTTTCTGAATCAAATCAGAATCCTCCAAATCGATTTGGAAATAAAGACAACTTTAAATGTTCGTTCTACATACCTCTAGGTAGCAGGTGGCTCGTGAGTGCTGCGATGCTGGGGTGCATGGAGTGTCCCACAGGGGTGTGGGGGGCTCCCCAGCGTGCTCGGCAGCAGACCCAGAAGTGGACCAAAAGCACTTTGGGTTCACTTCCGGGTCTGCTGGGGAGCACGCTGGGGGGCCCCTCTGTGCCCCCCTGGCTTGGTGACTGGTGCCTCCTGGGTCTGGGGGAGGCACCCGGGGTCCCCCTGTGGCTGATCACTGAGCCGGTGGGCGTGGGGAGGCCCCCCCAGCACAGTCCCCGGCGGACCCAGAAGTGGACCCAAAGTACTTCCAGTCCACTTCTGGGTTTGCCACTGAGCACATGGAGGGACCCCCACACTCCTGTGGGATGCTCCATGCCCCCCAGCATTGCAGTGATCATGAGCTGTGCCTGCTACCTTAAGGTATGTAGAAATTTTTTTTATAGCTATGTCTATGTCCGAATCGCTGATTCTCCAAATCAGCATCGAATCTTCAGATGCAGATTCAGCCAAATCAAATCAGGGACAGTGATCTGAATCAACGAATCGAATCACTGTCCCTGATTCAGGCCGATTCCGAATCAAATAGGGCCCGCTTCGCACACCCCTAATATTTATACCATACTAAAGTCACTTAAAATGCCAACATTCATATGTTAAAGCTTGTTAACTCATGCAAAGTGCTCTTTGAGCATCTCTAACACTAGGCAAAGGTTAATAAGCTTTAACATGCGGTTAACTCTGGGCTTTGCTACCTAGCTCATGGTAGAGTACCATCAGTCTGCTCAATGGGGATAAAATGAGCAATTTGCAGTCCTCCAGAATCCCAAGATGCTCAGCTCCCACACCTGCCCTCCTTCCAGGGCAAGCATAGAGCCCAGGTGTCCTGGCTCCTAGCCACAGCCCTGCTCACCAGCCCTCTAGTGGCAAGTCAGAGCTATCCAGGAAACAAACTCTGCAACTCCTCAAAGCATGTTGTGATTTTAGCACTGCTTAGCATGCCACAGATTTAGTATGGTGTACATGGAACGTGAAACTTCACCCTTAGAGGAAGCAAAGAGCAGCAATAGCCATTGCTGCTACTGGCTCAGCCCCTGCTGTCAGCCTTGCCGCCCAGTTCACAGACCCTGGCTGATATGCTTCTGCAACTGGGGACATGCATTGTTACAACCCCAGCTAGGGGCCTGGTTTCCATAAGCTGCAGAGACTCCTACTTTTAACTTTGGAAGCCCTCAGTTAAAATGTCAATGTTGATAAGGATGGAGACCATCACAGAGACCCCCCCAGGGGCACAATGGAGTTTTGTCAGAAGGGAAATGTCCCTTCTTTCCCCTTGTAAATTCTCGGTCTAGTGTTTGCAATGCAGATGCACCCAGCTCCTGCTGAGAACTGTACGGCCCCCAGAACCCAAAACTTCCAGGCAAAATCCTCATTGACATCAAATCCTTTTTGAAGTCAACAGGTTTTGTTAGAGAAAGGAGTAATTAGAAGTTGGGCAAAAAATTAAATCATAGCTATGGGGTATATGTAGGGAGGAAGTATTCCCACATCTGCATTAAGAGTCTGCCCTTCATTTTCAGCTTGTGTCTTATTCTTGTATTAAGGAACCGGGTGATACATGTATGTATGAAAGCACATATGTATATGCATCTAGTCTGAAGGATGAACTCTAAGGAGGACATTCTTGCCAGAGCCCAATGCCTTGTTTTGCACCCATATGAGATCTCACGTTTGCCTTCATGCCCAGATGAGAATTTTGCCCCACCTTTAAGCTCCCAGTTGTTTTTAGCCATGTCAGCCCTGACCTGGGCCTCAGCAATTTCTGATTGCTTTTTTTTTTAAGAGCAAGGATCAAACGTACAGTTGTAGGCACAGACTTGCTCTTGATTTATATCATAACAAACACTGTTTTGTTATTGCAGGGTTGTTCATGAGGGCAGGGCTGCTACTGTTAATTATATGTAAGGCACATGATGTTACAAAGGTTTTGAGACAAAGACCTGCTAGGTCAGTCAAGTCTGTCGCCTTGCAAATGTGGTACAGTCCCCTGAGAGGGGATGTGTCAGGTATTAAATCCAAGCCGCAGCCAGAGGCCTTGGAGAGACAGAAGTTTCTATGTAAAGAATGGCATGACCTTTGCCACCAAATTTAAAGAGTGGAACAAATTGCAGGCCCCTTGGTCTTGGCCTTGCACCTTTTCACAGCTGCTCCCCATTTGGAGAGGGCTAGTTCACAGGTTGCAAGCAATGACCAGCAATTAGCTCTCTCCTCCCAGCTTTGCTCTGCAGGGCAGTTGTGTTTGGCTCCATTAATAGGGTCTCCCAGGAGGGGGCAGTGTAGGTAATGGTGAGGACCAGATGCTCCACACCTTTTACTGACTTCTCATTTCTGCAAGAGTGAACAGGGCCCTAAACCTTTTGGTACCTTCAAAATCCTGCGGGTGCTTGAGAAGTTCACATGAAAGATGCCACTGAAGGATACAGGATTCATTAACGTGAGGATTGCTTTCATCCTGCTTTATGCACTCATGTTGCCAGGCAGAGCTAAGAGGGAATTTCTCCTGGCCATACTAGGTCTGAGATGCCTTCCAAAAGGGCATCTCTTTCCTCTTTCAAGAATGGGCGCTGCACAGAGACTGTCAGGTGGGGAGAGGTTTATTCTGTTCAAGCCACCAATAATGACTGATCAGAGCTTCTGTCTTTCTTCTCCCATAGTGATCTGAGCATGAACAACATTAGCGAACTGCAACCCAACACTTTTCATCATATGCGCTTCCTGGGGGAGCTGTAAGTATGGTGTTATTACATAGAGCATAACGTGTTCTGGGGTGATATGATGTGCGGGGTGGAGGGGGGTATGGATTACAAAGGAAACCAAAGTGAGGAGCAGAGAGAAATCAGGTCAGAAGCAGTTGCATTTTTTTCCCTTCATGGAAATCAGGAGTAATGCCCCTGGCATCAGTCATTGTAAAAGATGCAAGATCAGCAAAGCAGAATCAGAGACACTATTGGTGCCTATTGTAACCCAAAGAAAAGCAGCCCACACACAACTCTGCTCACCTTGCTGTCCGTACACATCCCCTCACAGCCCTTTGCTTTCTGGATTTCCTATCAGTCTGAAATGAGAATGGCAGCACGGGGACAGGAGTGTGGGTCGGGACCTCTGAGACTGAGGCTGAGGCAACATAGACATCTGAACCCAGGAAAAATCCTAGGCTGCATTGAAGGTGGGGAGATCCTGCTGTACAAGTGTGAATTGCCCTTTTCTACTAGCCCAGCTATAGCAATGATGTCAGAAAAATAACACAGTGAGGCCAGGAGTGGATGAAGCCAAGCAACATGTTCGGCAAGTTAAGCCCTTTGCAAAGGGCTAGCAGAGAAGCCATGTACATCACAGGTAAACCCTGAAAATAGGGTTTTAATGGCGTAGCCCTTTGCCCGAGTTGAATGTCACTCTCTAAGGATAATTCCTTCATGCACCTGGAGGGTTTACCCCTGCTAAAGCTACTTGTACCATGCTTAATCTTAGAGCTGGGCAGAGAAATTCAACAGAATATATTTTCTTTATAAAAGACAATTTCAATAAAATTGAAGCACTTTTATATTAGACTGAGATATTCATTGTCATATTGTGTGCGTGTGTGTGTGTGTATATATTACATTTAATGTATAGGATATGTTGTTATTAATATTTTACTCTAATAGAAAAGTCCAAAGGAGATGTTGTGATGCTTCTGAAATACACCTCTTTTATTCATTCAACTTTTTCAATTCACAGGAAATGTTGAAATATTGAATTTTTTACATGTCCCCTCCCTACCCCCAAATATTGGGATTTCCCCAAAACAGGAATTCACATGCCCCTGAATTTGGTGTGTGTATATAGGGTTGAATTTACACACATACATGTGGGCATATACACTGCTGGGCAAGCAGCATTGCCTAAAGGTTAAAGCATCAGAGGAGAAGTCCACACACCAATACCTTTCATTTATTTTTTCAAAATGTCATGATCTTCAAAACAGTGCAGCAGTTCTTTAGAAAGGACTCACAGCTGTTCACTCCTGGAGTTAGTGAGAATAAGGAAAACAAAGAAGCAGCTAAAAAGGTTCACGGATCCCTACAGATTTTTAAAGTCAGAAGGGATTTTTTTTATGATCATCTAATTGACCATCCTGCATAACAGAGGTTTAAGAACCTCACTCATGGATATCTGGATCCAGACCATAACCTTTACTGAGCAAGAGCAGAGCTTGGAAAAAGACACACACAGTCTGGACTGAAACTGCCTTTGGTAATTGGGCATATGTTAGTTAAAAACATCTGCTAGATTTCCCGCATCAGTTTGTCTGCTTTGACTTCTAGTCATCAGATACGTATATGCCTTTGCCTGTTTAATTTAAATGCCCTCCAATATCAGAAATCATCTCACCCTGCAGAACTGTATCAACCATGCCAAAATCATGCTGAAACTGTAACCTTGTGGGGAACTTAAAGACACTGAGTTTCTCAGGTTTCTTACTAGAAGACAGATTTTTCAGGCCTTGTATTAGTCTTGCAGCTCTTTGCCTTGGGGTTTTCCTTGTCCTATTTAAAATGGAGACACCAGAAGTGGACACAGTATTTTATTCTGTCCTAACCAGATAGTTTCATAGTTGGTAGGGTCAGAAGGGACCTGAGCAGATCATCTAGTCCGACCCCCTGCTGTGGCAGGACAGAGTATTGGGGTCAAACGACCCCGGCCACATGTTCATCTAGCCTCCTCTTAAAGACCCCCAGGGTAGGAGCCAGCACCACTTCTCTTGGAAGTTGGTTCCAGATCCTAGCCGCCCTGACAGTGAAATAGCACTTCCTAATGTCTAGCCTGAAACTCCCCTCCACTAGCTTGTGTCCGCTGTTTCTTGTAACTCCCGGGATTGCTCGGGGGAACAGGGACTCTCCCAATGCCTGCTGGTCCCCCTTGACTAGTTTATAGACTGCCACTAGATCCCCTCTCAGCCTTTTCTTTTGGAGGCTGAACAGGTTCAGGTCCCGCAGCCTCTCCTCATAGGGCCTGCCCTGCTGTCCCCTGATTGTACGGGTGGCCCTCCTCTAGACCCTCTCCATATTGGCCACATCCCTCCTGAAGTGCGGCGCCCAGAACTGGACGCAGTACTCCAGCTGCGGCCTGACCAGTGTCACATAGAGGGGGAGGATCACCTCCTTGGACCTACTTGAGATGCATCTGTGGATGCACGACAAGGTATGGCTGGCCTTCCTGACCGCATCCCCACGCTGTCGGCCCATGTTTGTTATGGCATCAGTAATGACTCCAAGATCCTTTTCTGCCTCAACACTGGCGAGAAGGGAGTTCCCCAGCCTGTAGGTGTGCCGCTGGTTCTTCCTCCCCAGGTGCAGTACCCGGCACTTGTCAGTGTTGAAACCCATTCTGTTCTCATCGGCCCACCCCTGTAACCTGTCTAGATCTGCTTGCAGCCTGTTCCTTCCTACTAGCGTACCCACTTCACCCCACATCTTAGTATCATCTGCGAATTTGAACAGGGTGCTTTCTACCCCCTCGCCCAAGTCACTGATGAAGATGTTGAATGGTGTGGGCCCGAGGACCGAGCTCTGGGGAACCCCACTGCCCACATCCCTCCAGGTCGAATAAGACCCATCCACCACCACCCTCTGGGTGCGGCCCTCCAGCCAGTTAGCGACCCATCTGACCGTGTAAGCATCAACACCACTGTCTCCTAGTTTCTTACTGAGAATGGGGTGAGAGACTGTGTTGAAGGCCTTCCTGAAGTCCAGAAAGACTATATCTACTGCGACACCTGCATCCAAGGACTTGGTGACCTGGTTGTAGAAGGCCACCAGGTTGGTTTGACAAGACCTGCCCCTAATGAACCCATGCTGGTTGCCCCTGAGCATCACCTCCCCTGCTGGCCCTTCCTGGACATAATAATGCCATAATAATAGTGCCAGGATAATTCTTTCGAAAAGCTTCCCAGGACTGAGGTAAGACTCACAGGCCTATAGTTTCCTGGGTCCTCCTTCCTCCCTTTTTTGAAGATGGGGACCACCTTGGCCCTTTTCCAGTCCTCCAGCACATTGCCCAAGTGCCATGAGTGCTTGTAGAGCTGTGCCAGAGGTCCCGCAATGACCCCTGCTAGTTCCTTCAGCACTCTGGGGTGGAGATCATCAGGACCCGTGGATTTAAATACATCTAGTCCCTCCAGAAGTTCCCTTTTCACTCTTACTCAGCCTCTTCCTCTGTACACAGTTGCTGGCTGCCTCACTGCAAATGATTATAACCTGATTGCATGTTATAAGCAAACAGAATATAGTCATAACGGGGAATATATAAATATGTTTAACATTTAGAAGGGGCCAATTTCCCACGGCCAAAAATAATTCTGAGTGAAACAAATTGGGAGGAAAAAATTAAACAGGAAAATATGAAAAATAATTGGAAGTTGTTTAAGAACATTTTGCTGGGTGTTTCGAAAGATCACAATTCCTCATTCAGGGAAAAATATACTTGGATTTAAAAAACATCCCAGTTAAACGTGGAAGTAGAATTGGCAATTTTACACATGCACGCGTGCATGCACGCATACTGCACACACATGTACGCGTGCGCATGCACACCCCTAATACTGCTGATAAATTCTCCTGTTTTCCCACTTGTTTTACAAGCCTTCCATGTACTCAGTGTGACAATGAAGATTATCCAGGGTGTAGATTGTGCTGGGTCAGAAGGAGCTGCAGCCCCAGGAAAAATGCCTAAAGAACAAGAGGGGGCAGCAAAGGGCACACATCTTAATTTTTGCTTGGAGGGTGGGGGAGAAATGACCCCCGCCCCCCAACCAGGAGAGGAGCAACTAGTCAGGGAAGCAGAGCTCCCCCCTTTCTTGATGAAAGGGCTGAAGTACTTAGAGCAGTTCTGCTTTCCCTTCTAGAAATAAACTGCCTGAAAGAAGAGATCCCTATTACTGCCTCCCCAGCGAGGCCTGGTAGAGGGGGGTGCAGAGGCAGAAGAGATGGGGCAGAAGGACAGGATTTATCTGGAGGCTGGGGATGAATTGATAACGTCAGAACTAATAATGGGATTGGATGGGGCATATTCATGGGGGGCTGAGAAAATGGATGTGGGGCAGAATGGCTGAGGGTTGATTATAGACCCTGGCTCCCAGCGTGCAACAGGGATGATTGTGTGGTTTTAGGTTAGACAAGGACTTGCATGGATTATTTTGGATAGAGATGATCGTGCCTCAGGCAGGAAGGAGGGCTGGATGTCCTCCAGATGTCCCTTCCAGCCCTATTTTTCTGTGCGTCTACAATTCTCTGATTTTCAGACCACTTTAAAATCTGGGATCATCCATCCCGTTTGGACAGTGGAGAATTCTCTTGGGCATGCTTGATATCTTTGGGAACTGGGGTGAACTTCCACCCACATTTTGGTGGTCAAACCAAAATATTATAAAAATAAAATGAAGTCTAGTTGAACTGAAAGAGAATTTTTTTCAGGCTTTGCAGCCAGATGAGAAAGAAAATTGAAAAATTTTGTTTTGGGCCAACCCCAGATGTTTCACTTGGGCTGAAACAAAATATTTTATTCATTTGAAGATTATTTATCCCTTTGATTTAATTCCCCCCTCCCCCCCACAACCCCGTGTGTCCTTTTTCATGCAAAATAGTGATTGAAAATTCTGGTTTGAAATGGAAAGGAGCTTAAGAAAAAATATGTAAATAAAATGCTTGTAAATTTTAGATTTCTTTTTCTCCCAATTTTGGATGTGAAT